GCAGCGTCTCTGGCTAGCGAGGTCTGTGATATTCGCAGCTTTTCATACCTATGCCATAAGATAGATACCAGTTACTGCGTCAAAAAATATTCCCCTGCAGAAAATTATTCATGTTGTATGCCGGCCTCATAGAAAACGTATGCGTGATTACTCTCCCACGTGAGGAGCTCAAAGACTGCAGTAAATGGTAATGCAGTAAATGCAGCAATTGTTCGAACAACGAACTCTGTGCCGAACGGATGAACCTCGTCGTTCCTGCTGCCGGAAAACTACTCAACCAGTAACGCGGACCGAACTTCCCTTGAGGTTCCGAACATAGAACTGCTGCGGACAACAAAAATGTTTTCCTAACGTCGCAACTGATTTTTCTTGAAGAAGGATTGAATAATTTTGATTTATTAGCTTCTTTAAGCTGAAAAATTTTTGCTTGCTTAAATATTGTTAATGTAATCTTTACTGTTAGCCCTTACCATTCTCCATTAGGAATCTGGATACTCTATATGGCGGCATAAGTATCGATTCAAGCTTTTGTTCCAGGACGCTGGTGAAAAATTTCGCAACAAATGCTCTCTGCCTTAAGTCCGTTGAGATCAGTCAGTGTCTTTGTAAAAATTTGTTTATTATTTATTTGTGTTTTGTTTCACTTATGTGTTTTTATGTAATTGGCAAAGTTTCTGACTGATGCGGAAAATGAGGATTACTGTAATCGATCTTGTTATACTTGTTAAGGTTACAATTTTAATTGATTTTAATTTTTTATGGACGTGGTTGTTGCCATGAAATGTTATTCGACTTTGACATTGCTCCTGCCATTAGAGCTGATTTAATTCTATACATATTAAAATCAGTCAGATGTATGGGCCTTTAGGACATGTTGCACACGCTTTGAAAGATCAGGAATTTGCCCCCATTCCGCACTACAGCGACCTCGAATGACATTGTTATTTGGGCTTCATCGCTGCATGTTCATCGATCCGCTCTGGTGTTTGTACCCTTGAAAAAAAATCCATACCTAGCTGGAAAT